TTTAAAGCTTATGAATACACACACAGTTAAAACTAAGACATAATGAAGATAAGAAAAGGCTTCTACTGTCAACGCTGCACTAAACTGTGACCTCACCGACGTTTAGCAGCCAAGCAGACAAGACGAACTGCAAGTAATCATTTGATGATTGTATTGTTTAAAATTTGTCATAACCCACTTGGGAATTTCAACATCTTGTAAACCATTAGTCAATTAATTGATTACTTGTCTACAATTAAATTAATCGCCAACTATTTCGATTAACCTTTTTTTTCTAAGAAAAAAAATGCCCAAATTATCTTATTACAGCTTCTTAAATGTGTCTTTACTCAGTGCGAGTATGTTTTGTATCACATTGTCCAAGAAGAGCATTTTAAATCTAGAAAGAATGTAGTTATACGAACGTCACTCAGGTGCAAGGTTGTGAGCAAACAGTATCAATTAAAAAGCAATAAAGCCTGCACACTTACTGCCACAAAAATAATGAATCATTTTGATAATGACAACGTCTCAATCCTAGATGGATCTTTGTCAGGTCATAATGCCTGACAGACTTGAAACCACACCTATATTTAAACATTATGCAAATCAATAGGCTGACAAGCTTTATGGTGGCAGTTGTCGTTAATCATCCCAACCAGGCGAATACTCCAAGAACAACATTTTTCTCAGACCGTTATTACCAAGAGTAACTGTGCAGGCTTTAACATTAAGCATCACTTATTAGTTTGTTGATATAGGTTTTTGCAATCATATATAGAGTATTATGCTCAGAATTCAAATAACTTGTCAAATAACGTGCTTTCATTTGTTTTCAATTGAAAGGGAGAGGGAGGACAAAAAAACAGCAGCATTAGTGGGTTTATTTCAGTGTTTGCATGTCAACGCATATTTTCAATTTGTGATGCAAAGACATTTGTAAGCCCATAAAAATACAACCTCTTGCATGTCAGTACAACAGGAGGCTGACGTAAATGGTTCTACTCAGTGGGGGGGTTGTATTTATGGTAAATCTGACACACATGCAGCACATGACTTTACGTCATGAGTTGAGGAAACGCGGTGGTTATATCTGTCCAACCCTACACAGAGATAACTGGTGATTGATTTGTTCCATTTGAGTATCTTTAAGTGTGACACCACTGTGACTTCATCATTTAAAGGTTATTGGCAATAGTTCGTAGGAAGATTTCGAGTAGCCTTACAATGCTCAGTTAAAGGAATAATAGATGAATTTGCAGTTCTGTCACTATGTGTGAACATGAACCAGTTCTTTTAGAGCTGAAATAAAGAGAACCATATCCTCTAACATGTGTTGTCATTGAGAAAAGCCTTTACTCTTACCACTGACAATGAATGAGGCATCATCCACACTAGTGGTACTGGTGAATGCAAAGAATGCTAATATTAAGACCAATTCAACCACATCTCTGTATACATAAAAAGGCACTCACGTTACATAAATTCTTTTCCATTTACTATGATGAACCTGTCAATAGACAATCAGAATATTATCATGACATTGAACATTACTGCGGTATGCTTAGTATGCATCATGCTTCCATCTTTTCTTATGCTCTTCTTCACTTCTGCTCATCTTCCACACTTGTTTTCATGTATTTTCCTCCACATTTCTTCTCCAATCAACCACCCTCTTCTCATATACTCTTACATACTACTCCTCTCCTCGCAACCACAGGCACTAAGTTATGTGGTGAAAGCATACAGTTTATCCACTGAGAGATGCAGTTGCCTCTGTTCATGTGAAAAATCTTATCAACTAACTATTCCTGACAAAGGGAAAGATACACTGGTGCCATTCCCATGTTTTTTCATTCTGCCCCTTTTCTCTCTTCTTTAACTCCATTCAGTGTTTCTCCGGATTCATTCTGAAGCTTTTCTCTTTGCAATACATGAACCATGTGAAGGTCATTGTCCATGATTATGGCAGGTGAGGGGGTCAGATGTGGGAAATGCAGAGGACAAGAGGTTGAAATGTGTCCTATGCACATCTAGTCAGAACTATACCAATCAGAGAAGAGAGGAGAGTTTTGATATGCATACTGTAAATTCACATTAATCCCACACCATGTCTTTCTCTCTGTATATCACTACTAAGCTTCACACAGAAAATGGAAAATGTTGTGGCACAACTTTATCAGCAGAAGTAGCAGGACTGGTTTGTTTAGTCTAAGTGGCCTTCTGTGGAAATGCACTTTGGCTATGATTATCTGTTATTATCCTACTTACAATAATGATGCTGGTTATTTTGTCACAAATGTAGTTGTGTTAAGAGACTTTTACACAGAAAAATACCAAAACCCATTTCCTGAATCTTTCACTCAAGCTGTCTACAAATATCACAACTATACAATTCTGTAGCATCTATGGAAAAAGCTGCATGTGTCGGGACACGGTTGTGTGCTTGTTTATTGTAGCTCTGTCTGTCTGTCTGTCTGTCTGTCTGTCTGCCTTTCTTTTTACTTCTTCTTCCCTCCTTCTCTCTTTCTCCCTCTCTTTCCCTCTCTCTCACTCTCCCTTTCCACAGTACTGGGTTTTAATCACTGCTGTAATTGGCAACTCCCTGCTGTGCACACACACACACACACACACACACACACACACACACACACACACACACACACACACACACACGCTCTGCCTAGCTGCTGCAAATCCCTCTGGCAATGTATATGTGTGTGTGTGTGTGTGTGTGTGTGTGTGTGTGTGTGTGTGTGTTGTGGGGGCAGGAGAGAGAGATATGGAGAGATAAGGATAATGAAAGAAGGAGAGTTTCAGAACTGCAGGCCAACTCACCAACTCACCAATCTGTCTGCTGTGAAGCACTGTGAGGAAGTGGAGCTGTGCAGCCAAATTGTAATTATCTGAGAGAAAAAGAGACATGGCTGAAGATTTATTACAGAACACAATATTGTGGTGGAGTTACCGGAGAACACAGTGCTGCATAAACTTAGTCGCATTAATAACTGGCCTTGTCACACTGGAAGTGTGTCACATACTGTTTATATAGGGACATATACATGCATTAATAGATCACTGTAAGGACAGCAATCTAGCACAGATGAACAAATACATGGATTAGTGGGGGCAAAGAGAGTTTTTTTTCACTGAATAAAATGTTCAGTGACTATTTCCACATTGGAGCATTTACAAGATAGTGAGCACATACATAATAACTTTGTCTTCTATGAAACACAATAGGGCAACCTACTGAAAACAAAACAGATCAGGCCTTGATGTAACAACTTCAGAGATTCTGAGATTGAGATTCTGATTTGTTTCCCATTGTTTGTGGTCAAACATGGAAGATTTATTAATAATCTGAATTAGGGTGGATATAGGGAAGTAGATGCATTTACACCCTGTGGACACAACAGGCTTCTTCTAAGTCACCATAATAAAGTTAAAAATGACAAATTCATAACTGCAATCTACACTATTTTGTCAACTTTCGATTCATAAATGAAGTGAACACCAAATAAAAGATTGAAATGACATGTAAAGATTTCCCAGTTACATCACTAGGCGTCCCCATTTTTGTCCCAGTTATTTGTAGAACAAAAACTATTTGGTAAACACTTATTAAGATCCATCTGTTATAGTTCCAGGCATTTCTGACTTTCCAAGATTGATGTCATTTAATGATATTTATGTTTAGAAAATAAACTCCAGACTTACTTCTAGCAGGGGTATAGTTTAAGGCTGTTGAAGTAGGGTGTACTGTGACCCACCATGGATTTTTAAGAATGGCTGTACTGAATTCCAGTTAAAATATGCTGAAATGTCTGTAATGCTACACAGGGTTGCACAGTTATTCACAATATGGTCAAGTGCAACATGTTAATTGCAGAAGCTGCAATTTTTTTTTAAGGTAGAATGTGACAAAAACAGCACTGTAACGAAGTACTGTAGTGCTGTAGAGATGCCCTGGCGTACAAATCATGTTCCAGGTTTAAGAAAACATGATACAGACAGACACCAATAAATGTCACATCATCATATAAATAGTTTTATCAGTGAAAAATAATCGCAATAGGATTTTTTTCCCCATGCCGTGCAGCCCCACATAGAAAATACACATTTGAATTCAGTTGGCAGTTGAAGCTGTAATTATTTAGAGGAAAACTGAAAGATTACAGGAAAGATGTAGACCAATTCATTGTTATAAACTCTAATCAAAAAGTTCCTGCAACACTCATTGTAGAGAATTAAATCACTTACTGCACATGCACATTGAAAAGAACATCTACTGGGGGTAATGTCGAAAACATACCTTGGGAATTTTATAAACTCATTGTCTGTTGAGATTTTCTGTGTCAGACAGGCCTTAAGTAGTGATAGTTTGTCGTGTTGTTGCCAGTTGCGTGTGCTGGAATGAAGTCCATATTCCAAGCCCCACATACTGTTCGTCCCCATAGGAACCACCACAACTCAGTCAGTGCTGACAGAATTACAGATATTAGCCCTTCATGGCAAAAGCATTTGAAGAGTGTCTTGAGACTTAAAACACAGAAGTACAGCAGAGCACATACACTGTGAAAAGTTTTAGAAAATTTAACAGGAACAATGTGTTTCATCAATGAAAAGAGTTTGTTGTATTTGTGCTGAATATATTGAGGCTTATTGGACCAGCAGTTGCCCACCAAATCCTACACTGTGAGAACCATGTGACAATGGCCATGCTAAACTCAATGCTAAAGAATCCCGGCTTTATGGTTATCATGGCACATTGGCCGCAAAAAGGAAAGTTTCATGCTTGTGTGTGTGTGTGTGTGTGTGTGTGTGTGTGTCTTTTATGTGGGTCACCCCACCATGTCTAATGGCCCCTTGCTGTGTGCAGCGTCCTGCGCTGAGCTGCTCCCTGCTGTCACACTCACACAAACAAACGCATACACGCAGCGGGGGAGATTTTGGGGTGTCCCTCACCCTAATACCCTCCACAATACACCACCACTGCATCTGTTGCTCCTGTTCTCAAAGTTGAAAGTTGATCAGTGAAGTGCTAGCATGTCTCTGCTATTTTTTAGATTTGGTCCTCTTTCTTTGTCACTTTTTCTCTCTCTGTCTACTTTTTCATCCCACACCACAGATGGGTGACTATTTTTACCATTTTTCTCTTCATTTAGGTTTCTTTTTTTTACCCTTAGTTGACTGGATTTTTAGGGTTAGCTAATGGCTCCTTCTTTGTGTTTTGTCTGTGTAAAATAGAAATGAAGGCATGGCCCTCTTTAGGCCTCCATCGCACAGACAGCTATTTAACCTGCTAGCAACTGCCTCAAACAGGTGAGCATCTGCACCACACACATTTAAAGCACCACTGAGACCTGTGCTATGTATATGTCTCTTAGGATTCAGGTTTTGTAATGAATCAGCTGCAGCACTGTAGTAAAATCATTTGATATGTTTGTATTGTTTGCATGCATTTCTGCTGAATGGAAATCAGTAGTATCAATATTTGTACTTGAAACATGAAACAGCTTGTTAACATTAGTAATCCTGAAGAAAATGCTGACACCAAGCTATCCTAGTGAAATTATCTTATCACTGTGTCTCATAAAACAACTGAATCCAGTCAGCTTATGTCTTACATTGTAATGGTATAGTTGTATTTGTAGTATCATTATTACTAGTAGGGTTTATTCTGAATGAATTCTGCATGAATGTGTGTTGTTTCCCTGCAAAGACGTCTCTGTGCGTCTATCAAGGCAGTAACCAGACAGGAGGGAAGAAGAAGACCGTCATTAAAATTCTAGCACTGCAATTTTATTTACAACTGGCATTGTGGAATAGTCTGAGGGGGGAGGGGAGAGGAGAGGAGAGGAGAGGAGAAGTACAGTGTGAGAAAGAGGGACGGAAAGAAGAGCGATCACTGAGATGCTGAGAATTCAGATTATTACAGCTACAATGTACCTATCCCCAATGTACTGCGGAAACACACATATGAACACACAAAGACATATCAATACAAGACACATGGAGAAGACTCACATGCTTATACAATAAGTACCATGAACATTCATGTAGACAAACTTGCTGCATACTCAAAAGTAAAAGTGCATGAAGCACCTGTACATGTGCTCACAGACACATACTCCAAAACATAGCATGCATGTTTACTTCCTTCCATAAAGCATGGAAACACACTAGTACACACACACTGACACACACACACACACACACACAGACTACATCTCAGCCACAGAGAAGCCAGCTACGTCAGTATATTTTCACACTGCGGTAGTGTCTCTTTGTCTGCCTGTCGGCCAGCCAGCTGTAAGATGGAGGGCGAGAAATATGCTTTTAGCGAACGGCTTCGTAAGACAGAAGACACGGCTTTGTCATTTTTATTTCTATACGCCATTGTTGTAATATTGATTTTTGTCACACGATTATTTTAATTTGGCGTTAGTTTTTTTTTTTAGTCAATGTGTGTATGCCTGATTATTTGTACACGAGTTAGGAGGGTGTGTGTGTGTGTGTGTGTGTGTGTGCATGTTGACCAGGGCAGTGCATTACTAGTTCTACACATCACAACTATGTATGTTTAGTATGTTAGATTTGTGTGTGTGTGTCCATATGTGTCCACACAAATATGCTAACACATACCTGGTGTGTGTTAAAATGTTTGTGTGCACATTGGTGGGGGAGGGCGACCTTCTGTCCACCTGTCCGCAGCATCAGCTGTTGTTTGTGTTACCACACACACACACACACACACACACACACTCACAGAGCAGGGGTAATTTGTTCCAATCCCGTCCTTGTCGAAAAGGAGAACTGCAAGCTGCCTGGCAGTTGTTATGTAGGGAGCACACACAGAGACATGTACACACACCAGGTGAGATTACGATACCACGGTCCTGCTCTAACACATGACATTTTTCTAAAGCTTACAGTATAATATTCAGTTTTTTGTGTGTGTCTGCTTTATTCAACTCTTTGCTAATTTTTCATTATATGAGCATATAAAAGACAACTTATAATTGTTTGTGCTCTGTTATTTTCATTTTAAAGATAGCCTCAACCATTGCCCCCCCAAACACACAGTAATGTCACAACAATGTTAGATGCAAAAACAGTAAGTGCTTTCCCTCTAACCCTAAACCAGCACAGCAGTGTAAGGGGTAATATGTCAGTTTTTACCCAGCACAAGCCCTACAGTCATTTTGTATGCAGTTAACAGTGATGCACTGCCTAAAAAGAAAGCCATTTCAAGGAGAAAGCATCGATATGTAACACACACAGGCACAAAATAAAACCCTAGAAATGCATTGCGAAGCAGAGACAGACACAGAGCCGTAGAGAATGAATCAGATGTATAGAAGGCCTCAGTGAGAGAAGGTTTGCCATTGTGTGATAAACACAAACACAGATGCATTTACGCTTTGATTTCAGGTTGCTTTTCACTGCTCGCAGTGGGAGCCGTCCTAAAGAAGCAAACCTCACACACTCACACATGCACGCGCACACACACACACACACACACCATGGACCGGACTGATAGGATTAGAGACTGGTGCTATAGTCACTCTCTCTCTTTCTCTTCCTCTCTCACCCCCTCTCTCTCTCGAGTCTGCCAAGCCTTGATTATTCACAAGGTTAGTTCCTGATTGCCTATAGCAGTAGCAGACACAGGTTCATTATCTCTCCACCTCTTTTACTCTCCCTCGCTCTCTGTCCTTCTTGCAAAATGCATGATGGTTGAAAGAAAATGCTTGACTCACACAAAAACAAAAATGTACAGCCTCACAAAAGATCCACCGTGTGGCTGAAATGTTATGTGTCAAATTAGCTTTGCATTTTTAATTTTTAACGGTACAAAGTGAAATAACAGTTCAAGCAAAAATTGTCAGTACAATTTTCAATTATCTCTATCACTGTTTCTATTCCTGCACTCTCCCCTTATTTTCCATTTAGCCGAAACACTGAATCACACCTTTGATGTGATAATTAGGGAATTCAATTGAGGATGAAGTGAAGAATTTTATTTTTTGAATAATAAAAACGTGTTTTCTATCTATCTATCTATCTATCTATCTATCTATCTATCTATCTATCTATCTATCTATCTATCTCTATCTATCTATCTATCTATTTCAATAAGATGCACATTTTTATATTTTACTTTATATAATCAATGATCTGGGTTGGCTCCAGATCCACAGAATATTATTTACACATTTGATGACGATGTCAGCTGTCAGTTATATTAATAAAAATACAGCACAACTGGAGACAGCTGGGTTTTGTAGAGCACTGATGACACTGTATGTGTACGTGTGGTGGATATCAGTGCTGCTGCAGCAGGCTTCAAAAGGTAGCCCTCGGCCAGGCTTCCGCTGTCACAGTGGAGCCGTCGTTATAAAACCTCCACCACTAGCTCAGATGAAAATACGGAATACGAGGAATGATTTTGGTTAGAAAATGTCTAAACTAAAATTTCAATCAATTGATGTTTTTTCCTAAATCATATTTGCCTGTGATAGCAATTGTCCTGATATTTCGCTAAAGATATTCTAACAATGACTGAAGCTTTATTTATTTGTTCCACGTTTGTTGTCAGGATATGGAAAGAGTGTTAGTTTTCCCCTCTGTCTGTGTGACAATGTCCCCATTCTGAGGAGAGTGTGAGTGTAGTGTTGACACATGTTAGTGCTGGCTGATTAGTCGACACATAAAGGAACACGCAGCTCCTCCATCACTATTCAGCCATTTTGTCTCCCTGTCTGTCACACTGGTGGAGTGGATGTATGTGTGTGTGTGAGGCTTTTGTTAAGGTAATGCAGAGGAGAGAGAGAAAGAGCGAGGGAGAAGACACCGTGAAAAATTACACAGACCACAGCCAAGTCCCGATGACCCAGGGATGCTTTTTTTCCTTTAATGTCTGCACTTCAGAATCATGCAATTTTAGTCGTTTTTACCCCTGAAGTCATGATTCTATAACAGCAGCGAAACACACAAAATAAAATGTTTTTAATGATAAATTGTTAGGAACATGTAGTGTGGGTCTGTTGTCTATTGTGTCTTAAGTGGATTAACAGAGCGGTCAGTGAGACAGACAGTCAAAGTGGCAACCATAACCGTTGTTTACAAGCTTGTGTCACCTCTGTCGCTTCAAATTTTCATACGATACTGATTTGTTTTCTTAGACTTTTCTCACAATAGCGGGGTGGAGTTTGTGCAAAATCGTTGTGTAATCTTTTTGCTAAAAGCATGAAAGTTGGCACAGTCACATCTCACACTTACCGAGATTTTATACATTTAAAGCTTCCTCAATATTGCTGCATGTGTGATTCTGTAGATTTTATTGTAATCCACTATTATTTTAAAGTTTTTATAAGAGATACAATGCCAAATTCATAATGCAATATTCAGGATTTCTGATTCTGGGCTCTTAATGTCACTTAATATCAAAACATAAAGTACTGGAAACTGCTGCACATTTCTGCAAAACACTGGATATATTTTGATTTGAAATTATTATTGTCAAATTATGTGAAATGTCAAAATGAAATCTCACTTTGTAATGCTGGTTTTGTTATATTTTGAATATTCACATACCATTAAACTGAACCTTCACCATCTCTATTAAATAAACAAATGACCAGTAATGTACACTATTGCCAAATGTGTCAATTAAGCATTTTATCAATGATATAATAGGTATGTAAAAACATATACATATTAATCATCTTGTGTAACGTTCAAGGCAAAGTCATTCAGTGATGACAACAGTTTATTCATATCAGCATGGTTTAATATCAGTTAAAATTAAAACTAAATATCATGGAAAAATCTAATTCGTTTTAAATTATTTTTAATACGTCACCACATACATCTAATAATTTTCATTAACATGATTAATAACAATATATATATATTTGTTTATACCCAGTTTCACAACAGCAGACTGTGTATGTTGTGTAGCGTAAATACTTCAAGAATGCAAACAAACATAGAGCATGAGTATTATTATTAGCTTAATTTGGTCTATACACCAAAATGTTCTTATCGACTTTCACATAAATATATTGTTTTAAGCTAAGAAATTAAATAATTGATTATAAGATCTATATGTCAAAAGCATGCATCAGAGTGATGCTCCTACAAACCTTGTTAATAAGTACTTATATTAGTTTGAACCAAATACATTCTTCTGGATTTATTTATTTATTTATTATTATTATTATTAATATTATTATTTTTATTATTGTTGTTATTATTATTATTATTATTGCATATATGTGTTAGGTAGAAGAGCATGATTATTTACCATACTGATA